ACATCCATAACTCATCAAAAAGGACAACACTTTTTGCTTACAGTCTGGCGACTAAAACTCTTCAGATAATAAGCCCTTACAACCGTTATTATACAGCTATTATGCGATTTTGAATTGATTAATTAATTAAAACTGGAGTATGAAAGCAAATTTTATCAATGATTCAACTTTCCTAACGCAGGAAAATCGGAAATCAAATCTTCAAACAATATAATAGAATCATTCACAACCGATGCAGTATCTGTTCCAATGCAGCGTTTCGGTACAACCCAATACAATTCCATCGGGGTTTGTTTGGAATTACCAAAGCAAAATCGCTGCCATGTCTGTGAATTGGTCATTTTTGGATGATCAGAAAACGGATTGTGAACTGTTACTTGAAATCCCATCATAATTTGACGTTTTGAATCCCACAAAAAGAAATCAAATCTAGGATAATTCGGAGATTCGGGAACAAACAAGCTCGTGATGTTCTTGTGGAAGGATGTCTTTGGGGGTAGCTTGTTTGTCAAAAAACGAACCACGGACTTGATTTCAATACTCTTTCTTTCAGTAGAATCTTCTGGTGATCCAATTTTAGCAATATTTGCAACCTTTCTGAATTCAAAAGTAAAGAGCTGCGATAATTCCAGCATAGTAGTGATGTACATTTCGCTAATTTTACCCTTAATGCTGTTGGGATAGTATGTTTCTTTCAAAACAATTTCAGCAACAAACCCAAGGGAAGTCATAAGACCACGACCGTGGTAGCCTAGCAATGCACGACGAGCTACGGGATTCAATGCAGTAATGATTTTATGGCCGTCTTCATCTTCAATAATATTAAAGAGTTGTCGGTCCATTCCAATGTTAATTTCGGGAGGTGATAGTCTTAGAGCCATGCGAGAGATGCATTCTTTAAGATTGTTTTTCTTTTCATCCGATAACTTGTCACAAAACTTGCCATGACTGAAAGCCATATCCCTGAATCGTTCCCTTCGATAGAGTATTGTCTTTTCAATCAAACATTTTTCTGGTTGCTTCCAAAGCAAATCCAATTCGTATGGAACTCCACCCGTCCAGAACAACGCATCCATAGCCTCTTCAGATTCGTGATCGACTTTTGTGTTATCTTCAAGCAAGTAATGGTCACACCACACCTTGAATTCTTCTTGGTCAAAGCGGTGACTCGAGAGATCGTGAGTATGCCAACCTTTCATTTTAGTTGGATATCCTTCGTTGCTGGCAGATGCTGAAACAATTATCTTGATGTTCGAGTTTTGGTGGTTGGAAAGGTAGTTGATGAGACTGAAAGGGAAATCCTTGATAACCGAAGGATCGAACAAAGCATTGTGTTGGTCAAAAATTACAATCCATTGAAGCTTATTCAGGTGAATATAATTGACAAGTGACTCCATCATCATCATCATCATTTCTTCTTCTTTGTTACTCTCAGTAACTGCTTGACACCATTCCACGATAGACTTTTCTCCAATAGTATCATCATAAAATGTAGTGACAAGTTCTCTGAGGATATATCCAAACTTGTATGCTCTCCATGCAGCACAATTATTGATGTAGGTGACTCTGTAATTTTCTCGGTTCAGGCGATATTCAGCAGCCAGCAAATACAGCAAATAGCTCTTTCCAACTCCAACTGGGCCTCGTACATAAATTCCGTAAAAGTCTTTTACACTAAATAAGTCAAGTTCGTTCTTCAAGAGGGGATAAGACTTTGTCATAACCACAAACACTGTGTTTTCCTCGACTCTAAATCGCCGTTGAAGTCGATTAGGAGAAATCAGAGGAAGAAACAGAGAGGCAAGGTTGGTGGAAATGGTGGGGATCGAACGCAGAGCTTCTTGTGACTTGGCAGCAAATTCTACAGTTGCCTTCAGTGATGATATGGCAGGTAGAGGAGGGAATTCAGGAGTTACAAGGTCGATTGGTCGTTTTCTTGGGTTTGGTCGATGTTTTGTGGAAGACATTGCTGAAAGCATCAAGAAATGAAATGAAAGAAAGGAAAAGTTGCACTACAATTAATGTTGTACAAGAAATGTAAAATCTCATTTCATACTATTTTTATTATACAACAAAAGTTAATCAAGTCACTGACATTTTTACTAGTTTTTAGTTATTTTAGCTGTTATTCTCATTCAAGAAAAACGGTATTATCCGGTGCTCTTTACATACTGCTAATGTCACATGTAATATTGGCCAAAGTAATTTAGCTTCAAGTTTCCTGATTCACCAATGCAATATCTGCAGTGAATTTATTCACCAGAATCAGACATGCCGATTTTGCCAGTTCCTTTACTTGTACATTCATCACATTCTGAGCAACTTTACCACCGTATTAATATAAAATGACCTAATTAAGGGTGTCGGATGCATAATAAACAGCCAATCTCATGAAATAATAATTCACATTTAACTTACTGACAACACTGTCCTTTGAACTCTGATATTTTTCCTGGTTACTGGCATGAAAACAACAGTTGCCATCTATGCTGTTTGAACTAGAGCACAAATATGTCTGACATGCTAGGATACACAAGGAGGAGTTTGTAAAAGCTTGAGAACAGTCCAATACAATATTTGGATTGTATTGGGTGAATCCGGGTTCAGACCTGTTGATTGTACAATGCATGGTCATGCAAATGAGAGCAATCCCAGTTTAAAACTATAGTCTGATTGCGTACATCATATAATGGTTGAAAAGAATTGAAAATGCAGCAAATACTCGACCATTGTTTATTTCAAAATAGAAGAAGCAATCAGTGCAAAATAAATACAAGTATCCCGTCGAGTATGACCATAAACAATATGCTCAAGGTTGAACTGGCTGCAGTTGGTGGCGGTAATCATCGATGGCCTTGTTTCTATAAGCTTCATGAACATTGTCAGAGCTCTCCTCGCATTTATTCTTTTTCCTTCGTATGCCGAAACAGATAAGATATATGCATCCGCCTATTATGCCCAATCCCACAAAAGTGGCCAAGAGAACACTGCCAAGCATGGATGCCCATCTTATATCATGAAGAGGTATTATACTGCGCTTCTGAAGTAGTTGACTCGACGATGTTCCAACACTAGAGATTGAAGTTAATAATGGAATTGTCACCATAGTTGAAGTTTGCAAGTAGATATACTGATAGGTAATCAACTCGAGTTTATACTTGAAGTATTCAAGGCCGTAGGCCGTTGCTTTGGGATTGAACTTAGGGCGGGCTCAAGTCTGTTGTAAACAATCAGCTTAAATTCAAGCCCAAGACGACCGTCATGTCAAAGCTATGTAACCTGTGTCTGCTTCAAAATGCCTGGTTTGTGTAATCGATAGGTGCAGTTTAGTATGCAATTGTTTTCCGAGTACCACAGCTACTAAGCGAGTTTATGTTTCAAACTTGTGTTTGAATCACCGCCATATTCGCAAATGAATCACTAAATAAAGGTGTCAAAGTACATACTAAACGGCCAGTCTATGAAATGATGATTCACCTAATTTATTGAAAATGTGTTTTTTAAGCAGGCCCTTCTGATGATTGATATAAAAACAACTACAATCTGTGTTTTCTTGAACTAGAGCGCAAGTATGCTTGACATGCTAGGATAGTAAAAAATAGTTTGTACAGAGTTTGAGAACAGTCCAATACAATATTTGGATTGCAGCGGATGGTCATGTCAAAAAAACAACTTCAGTTTAAAACTATAGTTTGATTTTATATCATAAAACGGATGTCTATTGAAAAAGTAGTCAATTTGTAGTAACACATACTCGACCACTGTATATTCCAAAGCCAAATTGAAACAACCCATTCAAGAATATCAACTAGCTACGACATGTCAAAATCAATGTGGATTGTATTGATTTAAAAATCGATGGCAACACCAATCTACAACTGTATTCACGTATAATGTACTACTTTATATATGCAGAGTCGACTGATGATCGAGTATATGTTGATGAGTAACTCTGTCACTGGTTGTTTTGATTGGTCGTTGCTACTGCTTGTATATGCAGTGCATACATGTGTGATGTATTGGATATCGGTGTTGTGTATGTTGAATCTGTTGGACAATATATTGTCATGTCGCATCAAATCGCACCATATTTAGAGTGCAATCATTGATTCGTTGGTTTAGTGATCGACTCGACTCACATTCGACTGTAATGTTACAAATATGCATTGCTGATTGACAGGAATATATCAACATGTATCAGACTCGAACATGGTGTATATCAGTTGCATATACCAATCACTGATGCAGTTGATGATGATCGATTAGTCAATCAATTTGATATCAACACCAATGTCAGTTAATTACCACATGAATACTTGCAGTTGTGACTTGTATTCATTCAGTAATATTGTTGTATGTCGTGACTCGATACAACATACAGCATGATATATTAGTCAATTGTATTGCAATACGGTCAATGGCATGCTGGTGATTTGTTGTGCTGCCTGACTGTATTTATGGTGTCGATCAATGGCAGCAGTAATGCATTTGCATGCTGAATCTGACAAGTGGATGGTGATTGTTCCAGTCAATACATTGATTCGAGTATTGGCATTCATGTGTGTCAAATGAATTGGATCGACTGCAATATTGTCATTGATCGCAATCACTGTCAACCAATACACTGTAATACATTGACAGTCTCGACATCAACATTGCCATTCATGTCAAGTTGTGCGTAATGTGAGTTTTAGCAACCTGGAAAGTGTGACAGCGTTTACCGAGATTTGATGTATTTCTTGGTTTATCGCATCATCAACTTGGACAGACACGGTTTTGATCCAAACAACCAGTTGGTCAGACACTAGACATCACTTTGGTTTACACATTGTAACAAATGGCTTACAGTGTAAATATTAAAACATGACGGTTGTTTTTTGGGTTGTTACATTGATGGTTGTTTATCTACTCGAATTAAAGCATAATAGTTGTGCAACTTGGGTTTTAGATTTCTTGTGATTAATATCTATGATGGCATTTTTCAGTTCTTGTTATGTGTGAGAATATGGACTCTAGTTTTGAATACATTTACAGCAGTATTCACGTAAAATGGAACACATTTATCTCGGTGATTGCCACTATTTTATTTTGGGATATACAATGATTAAATATTCACATTTATATTACGAATTGATTGTTCAATAAACACAACGATCATCATATGACACACAATCATACTATAGTGTTGAATCTACACTTTGTGCACTTTTAGTAATCATACATTGTACGATCACCAAATTTGAACCCACATTCATGTATTGTGTTTGACTGTCAATATTGTCAATACAACTCTGTACACATTTGTTGTTCATCACCATCCAACTCAATCTCACCATTTCAATCAATCTTGGTCAATGTTGATGATTTACACGCTAATTCATTATCCAATCTTGTCTGACATTATTATTGGCTTTAATCACGTTTGGTTTGTACAACTGCCATGAGTTGTACTACCATTATCATTGTGTATCTGAGCATCAAATATTCCAATACATCAATAATACCACAGTGTAAACAGTAATATAGTTGATCAGTCTTGTGGCAAGACTTTTCATTCAAGTTTGTATTTGGAAATACTCGATGGTTTAATCACAACACACTGTTTGTAATGCAATTGTCATTGATCTCATTCTAGTCCATTTGATCACATCCGATTTATGATGATGTTTAGTAATCCATTACCATGTGTTATAGTAAACTAGTTTGTTTATTAAACCAAATCTACAACAATCACATTCAGAATATTAATTTACAGTATTTCTAAATGCATGTTTGATAACAATCCAATTTTGTTACAACAAACTGATCAAAACAATACTAAAATGGAACAACTCGTTTGTGTGTTTTACAACAATCCAAACATGAACAATTGTTGGCAATTGTTGGACATTCGCATGAATGAAATTATCATCAAAATTCAACTTTACTAATTTTATCAAACATGGATTGTGTTGATGGCATCAGAAAGTTGATTCAACACCTGGAAGATCTGAAACTGTTAACAACGGATGATCAACTACACAAGGCTGATGAAATATGGGGTAGACTGCTTGTGTTGATACTGGAGTTGGAAGAACAGAATCGAAGTAAGTTTAATGTACATTGTATTATTGATGAATTCAAACTGTTGTTGACTTTGTGTTGGTTTGAAATGTCAGAGTCTACAGATGTAGTGAAACACTTATGGAGTATTGGACTGGAAGATATCACAGCCAAGTATTTGGAGTATAATCGACCCAGTTTACAGGTATTCATATATTGCAACAATAATGGATTGTTCATGACTAAACTAATCAGCATGTGTTGTGTAGATCAAAGTAATGAAGTTTACTACAGTATTTGCGATTATGGTTTACAGTAATAATGAGTTCAAAATATCACATCGACTAAACAACCAACACTCGCAACTCATGCAATCACCAAACTGTCAAGTCAAAATAGCGGCAAGTCATGATTGATATTGATCAAATGATTGAAATCCAACTCACCCAGTGTCAATATGCATATAGGCGATGAAATCATGCACAGAGCTGTACAAATATAAACGCTGGAGTGAAAAGGATGGATTTGACATCAAGCCAATGGTTGAGATTATTGTTCATGAGTCTGATCAAGAAATGCTCACATTGGCAATTGGCCTGTTCTCGAAAGTTTGCCATAGTATTGACGATGAAAATGTATGTTTGCAATGATACAATATTGGATCAGTTTGTACAGTGTCATGTCTTGTCTTGTTGATTGTATATTTGACATTGAACAATATCATTAGTTTGGCATCGTGTTGTCAAGACTTGTTTCACGACTGGAATCATCCAATGGTCTAGTTGCTGTTGGTTTTATCGAAAACTTTCAAACCATGTATTGGAAGATCCATCGCCATAACCCAGTGAAAGCAGTGGAATGTGGCATCATTCCAGCAGTAGTCAATACGCTCAGGTATGTGATGTTATGCATGAATGTGTGTCCAGTCATCACAATTGGTAAATTTGACATGGTTGGATTGACATGACATGAATACAGGAGTGTCGATCAAGAAGTGATTAGTCAAAGTATTTATACTATTCAGAGTTTTTGCGACTATGAATATTGTGAAGTGATTTCAGCCGAGTTGATAAGGTCAGGGTTGATTCAAATGCTTAGCGACTTGTGTGTCAGATACAGCGACAACTCTAGACTAAAATCACGCATGATCGAAGTAGCTGGATCAGCTGCATCCAAAATGCGCGACTTTCCTGTATCACTTGCACGATCGTTGGTTTTTGAGCAATTGACGATGTCAGTGTGTGATGTCGATATGGGTGGCTCTTTGTATCTGTTTAATAATATCAGCGACATGATTGAGAAATCTACAAACAAGGACGAGATGATCAAGGTGTTTCGAGAATATGGAATTGTAAAGCAGCTCATCACTATTTATTCACGCAGAGATATACGTTTATATGATTATAATGGTAGTAACACTAGTATTGTAAACCTACTCAGAGCACTTGTGAATTTTGCCGACAATCATTCCGACAGTTCAATACGTACCGAGTTGGAGCAAGGCGGGATATTTGAAAATCTAACGGCTATTGTAAAATCGGATACTGCTGATCACACAAACAAAAGGGTTGCTGGCCAGATCATTGAAACGTGTTTCCAGCATCGGGTTCATGTTGCTAGCTCGAGCATTTGGCCATACGACGACAATGCCGAAATTGATATGAAATCTGGAATGGCCGGATATAAACATGGAAATGCACGCACACTTGTCGAGATGCGGTATATCCAGTATTTGCAATCTATACTTTGCAAACCCATGTGGTGGATCGATATCACAAACCAGCATATTGTGGAGCAATGGAGGGCCGACTCACTCGATCGGAATATATCACCATCAACATTTAATTTTGCATTAAAACAACTCGGGGTTTTTGTC